TTTTCTTTGAATTCAAAAGTAATGTAACAGGGTCTTGATGACCATGGTCGAAGAAATGAAAATTAGTTTCTTTTATATATTTCTTTTGATCAACAAGCCCATTTTCAGTTTATATTTCACTTCATCAAAATAACACCAAAACAAACATTTTGAAAGAATCGTGAACAAAGGAAAAAAGAAGATTTTCACCTTCGAGAGCTCTCAAGCCTCCTCCATCGGAGCAAAGTCGTCTCCTTTCAAAGGTAAACACCCTGTCATCGCGAATCTGGGTTGGAGAGAGTCTCGGTCAAGGGAGAGAGGAAACGGTTAGGGTTGGTTTTTAGACTTTAAGACTAGAATCAAAATAAGAGTAAGGAAGGTGTTAGTTTTTTTACCTTAGGGAGTCTTGAGTCCTCACCGGAGTCTTAGCCTCATCGAACCAAAGCTAAGGGCCCCTTTTTGTTAGGCGTGTACGCGGTGATCGTAGTTTCTAGGGCTATTGTGGTAGCCAGTCGTGTAGGGTTACGCTAGGAGTGAGCTGCGTCGCGAGTGGCAGCCGTGGAGGTTCTGGTTTAGGTGGTGAGCGGCGGAGAGACGATGGAGAGTAGAGAGAGATGAGAGAAACGGCTGAAAGGGGGGGCTTCATCTGTTTAGAGGAGAAGAGAGTGAAGTTAGGGTTCCCAAACTTTACCCTAAGATACCATATATTAAAATGCCAAAACGGCGTCGTTGGATGGCCCCCAAAATGGCAGCGCCTCGATCAGCTGGGGGAAACTACGCGTTTTAGGAGTAATGGTGTAATAGCTATTTAGGCCATTGTAACTTCGATCCGTTCTGTATTGGTCCCTGTACTGAACTTTATTTTCTTTTGATTTCGCCTCATAATTTATAGTTTGTTTCATTTTGGTCCAGTATCATATTATGGCTATTTTAGCGTTGTTTTTACTTTGGACGTGTATTTTTAAAAGTTTTATTTTGGTCAATGCTTCGAGTTTCTGTGATGTTTTGATATGGTTCTTAAGTTTATGCGCATTATATTTTGGTCCCAAATGTTATCTTATTAAACTTTTACTGTTTAGACGTTCGACCTTTACATTTGTTGCATGTTTCGTTAGAGTCCATAAATTAACGTTTGCATGTTTCTTGTATTTCTGGTTTTGTTTCCATGTTTTTTGCGTATTTAATTTCAGTCCTGTGGTATTGTATTTAATTTCTATTTTTTAGACATTTTAATTTTAATTTTCGTATGTTTCGTTTTAATCCTGTTTATGTGTTTAGATTTTATTCTGATTTTAGTCTTTCATGTTAATGTTGCTTTATTTCAGTTTCATTGGTTACTCATACGTTCATTTCAATTGTTATTTTGTTTATATTTTAGATTTTAAAATTCAGTTTAAGGTGATTTGGTTATTAGTGTAACATGTATAGTTTTTCTCATAGTTTGGTATGTTATGTTTTTTTTTGTATTTTAGTCCCATTAGTATGTTGCATATTAATATGTTAAGTAATGTTAGTGCATGTTAATTCTTCATATATTATTTATTAATTAGATAATTTTTAATATCGTATGTTAACCTCGTGTGCATGACTCGACGTCGTTACATAATCAGATTAAGGGTAATATTCTTTTAATTTAAAATTGTCGGAATGGCTTCTCCTAACTTACTAGAGAGTTGTTTTGGCAATTTTAAATTAAAATTTTATCCCATCAGTAACGCCTAATTAAATTTGGATTAATCACTTTAAAATTTGGGAATGAAAGAAAAAGAAATATTCGGATATTTAAATTATTTGAGAAAAGATCGTTAGAACTCACCTAAAGATCTAGTCTCGATATTTTTAAATAATCGAATAACCTTTATCTTTCTAATGACTTGGTAATTTTAAATTAACATATTTTGTTGCTTTTCAATGTTACAATTTGCATTTTTGTTGTTTAAAGGGATTATTAATAAAATTAAACTTGAACTTATGAAATTCGCTGCAAAGACATTAATTAATCGACTAGGTACCGATTTAGGGCGTTGTGGGGGTGCTAATCCTTCCCCACACGTAATCGACTCCCGAACTCAGATTTTGATAACGTAGACATCTACTTGTCATTTTAATTAAAATTAATTTTTATTTAAATTGACAAAATGTTTTTGGGTGCCCAATCACACCCTAATCAAAGATTGGTGGCGACTCCTCGAACCATATGTTTTTATCGTAAAAGGAATTCCAAATTTTCGAAACAAGAGGTTTTCTAAAATTGCATTGTTTTCAATTAAAATTTAATTGAAAAGAGAATAACTAAAGATGATGCGGTTTTCAAAAATCTCGCCCCCGCTCCCGTCCTTTCAGATCGTTTCGACAGCTTGGCGACTCCGCTGGGGACTTTTTTTTAGAGAGTCAGGCCGATAGTCGATTAATTAATTGTCTTTGCAAACGAAAGTTATAAGTTCGTTTTAATTTGGTTTTTGATCCCTTGTTTGTGTTGAATTTCTTGTTTTCATTTTTATTTGTGATTTGGTTTACAAATAAATAGTTGTACTAACGTGTGATCTACATGTTTCAGTTTTCTAACCTTTAGTTTGTTGAGTTTCTTGGATCGAGGCAAAGGATTATGAGTTTCCCCACTGTTGCTAAACCTTCAATATTCAGAGCCTTCTAACTGTGCTCTGTCCCATTAAGTAGGGGTGAAAGCTACGCTTACGTGAGAAAAATTATTTTTCTCCGCACGGGCTCTAGCTAGTAACCTCTGGGGTACATGCCTTATGTCTACGAGAAAACATTGAGTTTCCTCGCATGGATATGGGGATATGTATCCTCTCGAATTGAACTTGATTCGTTTTAAGCCCATAATGGGTGAGAATCGATGGTCTGGCAAACCCAAGGGGGCACCAGCAAAGGACAATTCGAGGGCCCTGTTAGAATTCTGCCTGTTTTATATCGAACCTCTGCCCATTTTTCTTCAAAAGTCACAGAGGGGGAAACTCATTCTAACCTTTTCCTCGAATTTATTTTTGCAAAAAGTATGCGAACTAGAGATCATGTGGTTAGGTTTATTTTTTGAGCAAGCATGTGAATTAGATACCATGCGGTTAGGATTTTTTGTGAACAACAAAGCATGTGGGTAGATATCATGTCGGGTAGGATCTACTAAAACATGATTGGGTAGTCAGCATGTGAGGGTAGGTTTTATTCGATGTTCACGGTACTTACTATCTTGTTGTTTATCTTATGCGTACTAACCCGTTTTTGTTCTATGTCGATTTTATTGTGCTTTTATTGCATTTGCATCCTCATGTCATCAAGGGGTGTTAATTCGCAAGTGATTGACTAACAAGAAGGCTAACCATATTGAGGCAATAAATTCTCCACTATGTAGTCAAAATCGGGAGATCCAGAGATGTTCAAGTGATCCATGAAGAATGACACCCGATGAATGACGATATCTGAAGCTGATTGAAGAATTCCTTTAAAGCTGCAAAGGACGAGATGTTGACTCAAGAGATAGATACAATCATACCAAGGACGAGAAGATCTTTCACAAAGACATGAAGACTGTTTTGCGTTAAAGTGAAGATGGAGATCCCAAGATTCAATTTAAAGACATCTGACATCATAAAAGGTGATGAAATACGTCGGCAATTTTGGAGGTGCAATTCCAGATCCTAGGAAGAGTACGACTTGAGAAAATGAAGAGATGAAGAATCACATTTGTATTTTGACTACATGGTGTACTTACTGAATTCTTGTTGTCTAAGTGAACGGTTATTCTACAAGTGGTCACTTTTGAATTAACACCTTTTGCATTTGCATTTTGCATCCACATTTGCATTCGCATCGCTTTAATTTAAGCATTTTTACATGCATCAATCATGAAAACATGAGAGTAACTCGTAAAGAAACTGTGACAGAGAAATGTTGGGGAAGTCCAAGCATCACTATAATACAATGGAGAGAACCATGGAAGATAGGATTACTCAAATTGAAAAAATTCAACTGCAGTTGCAAGATGATCTAAGGAAAATGCAAGAGGACATGCTTAAGGCTCAAGAAGATATGCTGTCTAAGTTGGCAAGTTTGTTAGAAGGGAGAAACCCGGAACATGGAAAGGCCCATGAGCAAATGACTGGAGATCCACTTTATCCTCCAGGTTTTACCTCGATACAGTCTCAAAATGTCCAAGGAACGTCTGTTCCTACCAAAGTGCACATAGATCCTGTCGGCGTTGCTGTGAATCTTCAACCAGGACCTAGTTCGCACCCCGAAGAAAGTCTCTGTCACCAAGTCCCGACCTTGATGAAGAGGCCAAAAAGAATGAAAACAAACACTTTCGGGAACAATTCGAACAATTAGCAAGTGAAGTCCAGGTTATGAAGGAAGACACCAGTATGTATCGACTGGACGCTAAAGAATTTAGTCTAGTTCCTTATTTGGTCCTGCCTCCAAAATTCAAAACTCCCGACTTCGAGAAATTTGACGGTACTAGATGCCCTTCCGCCCATATTACAATGTTCTGCAGGAAAATGATTGGTTACATAGGGGACGATCAGCTGTTGATCCATTGTTTCCAAGAAAGCTTGACAGGCTCAACATTGCGATGGTATAACCAACTAAAAAAGGCTGATATTAGGTCATGGAAAGACCTTGCTAAATCCTTCCTCGACCAGTATGAACATGTGAAAGATGTCAGACCTAACAGATTGGTGTTGCAAGGAATGGAGAAGAAGCACAGTGAAAGTTTCAGACAATATGCTCAGAGATGGAGGGAGGTAGTAGTGCAAGTGCATCCACCATTGGAAGAGGGGGAAACAAATATGCTTTTTATTAGTACTTTGAAGGCTCCTTTTCTCTCACACCTTATCGGTATTCCTTCCCTAAGTTTTGCTGATATAGTTACGACAGGAGAAATGATCGAAATGGCGATTAAAAGCGGGAAGCTCGAGGGAGGAGAGTCCAGCAACAAACCGCCGATAAAGAAAAAGGAAAACGAAGTCACCCAAGGGAGCCAATACGATTCCAGTAACATCACAATGTCCCGATCTCAGGGAACAGTGGCACCACCTCAAAATGACAATAGACAAGGGGCAAGGGACCCGAGGAGAGGGAGGCCTCAATTTGATCCAATTCCTGTAACCTATAAGGAATTATTTCGCGATTTATACGATCGATATCTAGTCTCTCCTTATCATGTGGTACCTATACAACCTCCTTATCCCAAATGGTATGATGCTAATGTTAAGTGTGATTACCATGGTGGGAATCCTGGACATTCCATTGAAAATTGCACTGCATTCAAAAAGGTCGTTCAAGCTTTGAGAAGGAGAAATGTTATCAATTTTGGTGACAGTGAACAACCAAAGGTAGCCCAAAATCCATTGCCAAACCATGCTAGAGCTGGGATTAACGCAGTCGCTGAAGAGAAAGGAAAGAGGATGGTTATGGATGTTAGTGAGGTGGAATCACCCATGCTTTGGGTATGGTGCCAAATGGTTAAAGTGGGATTGTTGAAGCCTAGTCTATCATGTGACCAGTATAGTAGTGAAGAGGTGTGCCACTACCATAATTGCGCAGGACACAATATACAACAGTGTCCTGATTTCTTAAAATTGGTACAAGGGATGATGGACTAGAAAGAAATCGAATTCTTCAAAGAAGTGACTAAAAAAGAAAAAGCAGAGATTTGCGCTTCTGAAGGATCATCCAAAGGGATACATAGTGTTGGTTGTCCCATCGTCATTACTCCCAAGAATCAAGTGAATGAAAGGGTAGCTCCTTCAACTCTGTTCCCATACAAAGATAATAAACAAGTGCCCTGGAGGTATGATTGTCAAATGAGAGAGGGGGCAAAACAACAAGAAGAAATAAATGAAGTAGGGCACTTGACCAGAAGTGGTAGGTTTTTTTTCAAAGAGCCAGAGAAGAAGATTGCTGCTGAAAAAGGAAAGATTGTCGATGTTCAGATAAAAGAAGATGAACTCATTATCAATGAACTGGGGTCGAAGGTTGAAACAGTGGAATTCTTAAAAATTTTGAAACATAGTGAGTTCAGTGTTATGGAATAATTGCACAAGCTGCCTACCAGTATTTCTGTCCTATCAGTTCTTTTGAGTTCAGAGGCTCATCGCAACGTCTTGATAAAAGTTTTGGACCAGACCTTTGTCTCGAAGGAGTTACCCACAGAAAAGCTGGAGCGACTAGTTGCCAAAATGCAGGCTGATAACATTGTATCTTTTTCAAAGGATGAGATCCCTTCGGGGATGATTGACAATCATAAGGCTCTACACATTACAGTTAGGTGCAAAGGGCACGTTTTATCCAGAGTACTTATAAGCGATGGTTCAGCGTTAAATGTAATCCCCTTGGTGACTCTAAAAAAGCTGCCAGTGGACAGTACCCTGATGAGGAATTGTCAAAGTATGGTTCGATCTTTTGATGGAACAGAAAGAGAAGTGTTAGGTAAGATTGATATTCCTTTGACTATTGGTCCAGCGACATTTGAAGTGGAGTTTCTTGTGATGGACATCAAGCCTACATACAACTGCTTATTGGGAAGACACTGGATTCATCAGGCTGGGGCAGTTTCATCAACTTTACACCAGAGGCTAAAGTTCGTATTTAATGGAAGGCTGGTATGCATTCATGCGGAAGAAGACATTATTGCTTCAGTTCCTGCAGCCCCATATCTTGAAGTGGAAGAACAAGCTGTTGAATGTCTTTTCAGATCGTTTGACAATGCCACGTTTGTGGCCGAAGGCAAGAAAATCTCAGAGCCTAGATCGTCATACTGCACCAAAACGGGGCACAAACTGACCCTTGGAAGAGGGACCAAAGGTAGCCAAGGGCTAGGACGTCAGTTGCAAGGACCAGTTGGGCCAAATTACCCTATTGCTAAAAGAGACAGGTTTGGTTTAGGGTATCAACCAACTTTGAAGGAAAAACAGAAGGGCATCAAGAGGAATCAGGAATTGAGAGAGGCAAGATTGACTGGTGAAGACCCAAGTTGGGGACCCATGACCTTCCCGCCATTGAGCAGCATTTTCACATCAGCAGGGCATGTGTTTCAAAGGACTTCAAGAAGTGGTAAAGTGATGATTGAGAATGCCTTGGAGGATTTTGGCATTAATGTTGTAACTAATGAGGAGTTTGAAGGAATGAGAGCTACAGGTGTCTATCCTGTACCCCCAGGCTTTGTGTTGAACAACTGGACTATGGAGGAATCGCCCTTAGTTTACAAATCTTTTGCAGAGTAGCGCACTAGAACTTTTCCCTATTGTTCGTACCCTGGGGCAATAGGGGATCTGATGTAAAGGGTTAAGCTGTGTGTTTTTACTTTCTTTCAATAAAGGATGCATTTCATTGGTCCAAAATGGCAAACACTCTCCCATGCATTTCATGTTTGGTTGTATAATATATGTATTATTTCTTTCTATTTATTTGTATGGGAAAAGATTCTTCCATATATATATGTATATATATCTTCGCTTCCGTTATTCTTTCAGGAACTCAGATATCAATGATACAAATGCTAATGACTCTGACCCGGAGATTGATTTCAAGATGCCCATGTGTCAAGGAGAAATCAAAGGTTGTGATGACGATGAGTGATGTGAACTACCTTCGGAATTACTGAAGAGGGTGGAACAAGAAGATAAACAGATTTTGCCTCACGAAGAGCTTATAGAGATCTAGAATTTGGGTACGGATGAGGATAAAAGAAGTAAAGATTGGTACCACCCTGTGTGTAGAATGAAGGCAGAGCTTGATAGAATTACTCCCAGAATTCAAGGATGTATTTGCTTAGTCGTACACGGATATGCCATGTATGGACACAAAATTGGTGGTCCATAAACTACGATGAAGCCTGATTGCAAGCTTGTACAACGGAAGCTGAGAAGAATGAGACCAGAGATGCTGCTCAAAATAAAAGAAGAAGTGAAGAAATAATTTGATGTCGGGTTTCTCACAGTGGCCAAATATCCTGAGTGGGTGCCGAATATTGTCCTAGTGCCAAAGAGGGATGAGAAAGTTTGAATGTGTGTCGACTACAGAGATCTCTACAGAGCAAGTCCAAAGGATAATTTTCCTTTGCCACATATAGACACTTTAGTGGATGATACTGCTGGAAATTCTTTGTTCTCATTTATGGATGGTTTCTCTAGCCACAATCAAATTAAAGTGCACTCTGAAGATATGAACGACGCTTGTCACTAATAGGAGTACCTGCATTGTCTGAAAGATTATCCAGTTGGAAAATCCTGTTGTGCAAATTTGATATCCAGTATGTAAGCCAGAAAGCGATTTGACAAGGGAGGAGAATATATAACTAATCTTCTTAGAGAAACTTGTAAGAAAGAAGGCATTATTCGTGATCTTTCTTCCATTTACACTCCACAAAAAAAATGACATAGTTGAAAGACAGAATAAATCTTTAAAAAAATGATGAACGATATTTTACTTAGCTGTAATTTATATGATAATATATAGAGGGAGTTCGTACTTTATGCTAATCATATTCTTAATAGAGCACCTCATAAAATTTTAGATTGTTTAAAAGTGTGGGGATGTCTAGAAAAAGTAGGATTGCATGTTTTTAAAAAGAACATTATTTGGTCTAAAAGTATTGATGTTTTGTTTAATGGTTATGCTTTAAATAGTATTGTTTACAAATTTATGCACTTACATGATTATTCACTATGTAAATCTAATTGTCACATTCCTAATTTTAGGGAATAAATTTATATGTTTTAAAAATTTAGTATCATTCTAGAATTTTTCAAAATTTGATGGTCTTATAGTGTAATTTATCCAAAAAGTTAGGTTGTAAAACCTTTCCCTCCCATTTTTAGTTTACACCTTTTAGGCATTTGAAAACTTTATTTCGTGCATTATCTCTCTCAACTTCCTCTCTCAACTACCCATTGTTTTGGGTTTTCTTTAATTCGTCACTAACCATGTGGTGGTGTGCGACACCTCTTACACCATTATGTTAGTCTCATCAACCTCATTCATCTATTATTCTTATATTTTTTTTCATCATCGTCATTTATAACGGGTAAAGGTTTAAATAGTCAATTTACATAAAAACCCATCTTCGTCGATCTTTTCGGGAAACAGATGCTTGTAAGTGGCTCTTCATGTCTTAAAACATTTTTAAGAATTTTTTAAACCATTGAAGAAGGCCCTACGTACCCACACACCATCATTCACGAGGGAGATTCGTTCTGTCAGTCTGACCCCCTAAACAGATCTGATTGAACTGGTCTAACACTCAACCAATCCTGAACTGGTCTGATTGAATTGTTGCCCAACTCATTAATAGATTGTTGATCGACCCATTGACTGTTAACTTTTTTTGTTTTTTTGACGTTGACTTTGACTTTGACTTTGACTTTGACGTATTGACTTTTTTGAAGACCTCTATCTTGACACTTTTCAACGTCCTAAGTATGTTCTGTAGTCTTTTTTGCCAAAATTTGACCTGAAAGCCATGCTTGTGCACATTTTAATACTTTACAATATAATTATACTGAGTAAATTCTAAAATTTATGAACTTATTCTCTTATATTATATTCTGAAGGTGGTCACATGTCTCCGTACCGTTCCCAATAAGTCTAGAGTACCTCTTTTCAGCTCAGTTTGACTCTTCATGTTCTATTTGAGATACATGTTTATGTTTCTAAGGACCTAGAACTATTGTTTGTGGAAGTGTAAAATGTAGTCTATATAGCTGAACTTGTATAGATGTTTCCCTTTAACACCTTTAATTTTATTGATATTATGTTGTATGATATTAACTGTACGTTTGTATGTATTCTAGTTATGTGTATTTGAGTTATGACTAATTTTTTATCACTGTTGTATTATTTCAAATTTGTGTATTGAGGAATTTATATTTCTGCATGGTTTCTTTATGGAGGGTATAATCCCCGACCTTATTATGCATTGGATTATATCCCTATCCTGATTCTGCATGGGATCATATCCCTGTCCTGATTCTACCTAGGATTATATCCTCATCCTAATTTTGCATGGGATTATATCCACGCCCTAATTCTGTATGGGGTTATATCCTCGTCCTGATTCTGCATGGGATTGTATCCTCTTCTTGATTATGCATGATATCTTCTATGGAGCGCAACATCTCTATCCTGCTTTTGATTTCTAATGATTTCCTCCTTGGAGGTTAACTTGGGCTCCTCTTTGGAGGTTAACTTGGGCTCCTCTTTGGAGGGTAACATTCCTATCTCGACTTCTATTTTCTGCTTTGAGTCCACTTTCGAGACCTCATGTTCCTTTCAATAGGTAATGTTTTCCATTTATTCGTTTATGACGAGATGTCAGGTTTTAAGGAACTATTACTATAAGAAATATACCTTTAATGACACACGAACAATGACACACGCTAATTTATGACTTGCAAAAAATGTGTGTCAAAAAAAATGTCATGGTTTTTAAAATCTGAACGATTTATGACTTACAGTAATGTGTGTCATATTTAATAGTAATAATCCAAAAAATTTGCAAAAACGCGGAGTACATTTTTAATTGTGTGTCATCTGTAAAATTCGTATTTTAATTCCCCCCCATTATTTTCATCCTTTCCCGCTTCTTCTCCCTCGATAACAAAGTTCACATCGCTTGCTTCCCCCCAATTTTCTCTTTTTCTCTTTGCATCAGTCTATTTTTCAATTTAAGTGGGAGGCGATATATCTTCAGCCCAAGCAGTTCTACTCAGAGCTTTAGCTCGTGGTGTCAACATCGGTTCAATTTCCTTCTCGATGATCTATTATACATGATATTTGCAGCCATTTGTTTATAGTTTGAATCTTTTTGTTGTTTGAGTTTCAGGCTCCAACATGGAATACACTATAATCGACGTTTCTGATGTTGGGTATTTGCCTTGCTGTTATGTTGGGTTTAGCTTTCTCCTCTATTGACTATTCTTTGATTCTTCATGTTTCTTTCCTCGTTCTAATTGTTGTTTCCCTCTTCTTGCTTCTTAACTGGTACTGTTTCTTAATTATTTACTATATTTTTACCCAGTCAAGTCAATATTAAATTTTCTAGCTTTTCATTAATTTTGGAGTTGCATCATGTGTTATTCATGCTTTGATCATTACATGAATGTTATTTTACTCAGATTCAGATTCGTGTGTGAGTGTTAGTAGATTCATGAGTATGCTTAACTTCTTTAAAGATTTTTCAGATTCTATTGCTGATTATAATAGGAGTGTCAGATTCATGTGCATGGTTAAATTTTTTTAAATATTTTTCATGTATTTGAACTATCCTTAGTAATGGTGTCTCATATTCATGTGTCGGACACGGATGATGAACAACATAGCTCGAAACAAAACTAGGGAACTATGTATGGGTCATTAGACAAACTTTCTATGTTAGATCTAAGAGCATACTTGGAGAAACATGGTATATTTTGCTATATAAACTATGTCAACTTAAAGGAATTTTGAGTGTTCCATATTAAACATGATGAATATTGTAGCTTACAACTTTTACAATGTTCTCTGCCTTTATGTCATGTAATATGTTATATTCGATTTTAGTTAGGAATGGACCTAACATGACAATGTTTTAGATAACAAGTTTAAGTAGGGGGCTCGAAATTTAGTTTTGAAGATTTCGATTCTTGCTTGCTTGCTTAGTTTTTTTCTCATTTTTAGAACAATGAAGTGGTAGGATGCAGCCTGAAATGAGTGTTTTTTTTTCTTATGATGATCTTTATGCAAGTGTGTAATTACATATGGATGGGGATGATGATTCGGAGCAGCGATATTGAATCTCTAATCTTTTTTTTCTAGTTAGAATTTGTTACTCTGCATATACCCTGAATTTTACTGATTGGATTACTTATGTAGGTTCCTTGAATAGACCGATTTGGTTTCTATCGAACACAAGGCAAATCACATCGGAGACACTCTGATCATTAGCTCCTCTTCTCTTCCTTCTCCTTATGTTTTCTCTTCACACACTCAATTAGGGGTATGTATCTTTATTTCATTTTTTTTCCTCATGCAATTCCTAGATCTTGGTCGCACTGGGAAATTTTTACATCTGTTTCGACAACAACGAATTAACAAGACATAAAAAAGTATAAACAATAAAATTTGTAGTTCTATTTCAATTTTCTTTGTTGGAAAGTTTTATTTGCCTACCTTTTCTTTCGTTTTCTTCTATATTTTTGTGATAATATGCAGGTCGGATCAGATGGCTTATTTGGTACACTGGGGATTGCTGCTGCTATTGGATTAGGCTTATTGCTTTTTCAAAGGTATGGTTTTTGAGCAATGTTGCTTGGTTGTGAGTGTCGGATAGGGATATGTGTCGAAGACCGGTAGGCTCAACTTTTTCCAAGATATGCATTTGGATTGTCCTTGGAGGAATGTGTCCTTACATGTTCGAAAAATGTGTAGGCCATGAGTACTTTAAGAGAAATGAAGAATCCGAGTAGTATAGTTTTTAAGTCCCTTCTATAGTACTTCGGTATTTTTCATCAAAACAACTCAAATAGTGGTTTTCTCCCATCATCTTCAGGTAGAAACTGTTTTTCAACTTGTGGGCTCAGCTGCTATTATCCAACTTCTGAGTAAGAAGCTCCTATTTGCATAGGTAAGTCTCCACTTCTATTTGAGTATTTTTTTCCATGAATTTAATTGAAATCAAGTATTTTGTGCCTTAGTTTTTCATCCACCTATTTGTAACAGGATCTTTGATTGGGCAAAGCCCTGACCTGGTGGTTTTCTTATCACTTGTTGAGAAATGTTTGCAAGATTTTTGTAATCAAATGTTGATGATTCGTGGTATAGCCTTGTACCTGGATGAAACATATGTTAAACAAAACCCAAATGTACGTTATTTGTGGGACATGGGCCTGCAACTCTTCCGTAAACATCTTTCTCTGGCTCCGGGAGTTTAGCACAAAACTGTCACTAGTCTTTTAAGAATGATTAAGAGTGAGAGGTAACTCTAACAAAATTCAAGTTGAAATGTGAAAACAAATTTCCTATTCTATTTTTTCTGGGTTTCAAAGTAACAACCTATGCAAAAAATGCAATGTTGTTTCAATGTTATTATTCCTTTGCTTGTTTTACTTCTTTTTCTATGATTTTAGTGGTATAAGGTGGTTACATATCTTCATTTGTGGAAAGAAGTCCCTAGAAAGGTCAATTAGGATGCCTAATCAATTTAACTATAACATGCTTCGTTCTAGCTCATTTTAATTATCTGTGCTTCCATCATTCTCAAGGAAAAACCTAAAAATTGTTGAGGAACTTACTATTTTGTTGCTTTCTTTCTTGTAATTCTCATTCATTTAGCTTCCTTCCAATAAATATTTCCCCTTAGTTTCTTGGATGATGTTAGTAATTAATTCTTATCTTTTAGGTGTTAATTAAATTTGTATCTTGTAATCCATTGTGTCTATTTTGATCATGCAGGTTAGGTGAAGCAGTTGACAGGACACTACTTAACCATCTTTTGAAGATGTTTAGTACTTTGGACATTTACTCGAAAAGTTTTTAGAAGCCTTTCCTGGAGTGCACATCCGAGTTTTATGCAGGTGAAGGAGTGAAATACATGCAGCAATCGGATGTTCTAGATTACTTGAAGCATGTAGAGGTGCCTCTTCATATTTCACTTTCTCAGTTAGTAGTGATTGTTACTCTGTATTTTGAATTGTGCATGTTTTATCCTTCTAAAAAGAATGTTAAATTTGTCACATTATTCCATATATATGGAATTTGAATGTTTATCCCTCTACAATTTTTGTGTAAGTTTATCTAACTGTTTGTGTGTATTGATGTAGATGAGGTTACATGAAGAAAATGAAAGATGTTTACTCTACCTGGATGCTATTACAAGAAAGCCACTTAGAGCAACAAGAGAAAGGACACCGCAAAGAATACACGGATGATGACATTGATGATATTCGCAAAGAATGGGTATCTTATGTGGCAAACTTTATTATGCCATGATATTTTGTATCGTCATATGATTACAATATTTTTGATAACTTAATGTGAATATATTATATGCAAATGGATTGCTTATATATAATATGATATATATTTAGTATTATGAGGCATTAAATGTGATTTAGTTCGATTATTTATCAATCTACAATATATATATATATATATATATAATTTACGAAATACAATCACGACACACGAATGTGTGTTAACTTCATTTATGACGGGGGCTTCAATGACACACAATGTAAGTCATAAATGCGTGTCATAAATTTATGACACACAAATTTTTGTCATCTTCATTTATGAAGGGGGCTTCAATGACGTGCAATGAGCGTCATAAATGTGCATCACAAATATGCGTCATAAATGCGCGTCATAAATGAGCGTCATAAATGTGTGTCATAAATGCGCGTCATCTGATATTTATGTCGGTAGCTTCAATGACATGAATTTGTGTGTCATCTGCACCCATAGATGACGCGCATTGCGCGTCATTAAAGGGTTTTTTTTCTAGTAGTGTATATATTATATTTTGGTAATAATATTTGGTTTTTCTGTTACTTAATTATTTTATTGTTTTTGTATTCTGCCTAAAGTATATGAATTATTATCTGTATTTAGGGGACACACTAAGTTTGTAGCTCACTCCATTTTTATTTCTATTTTTAGATTATCCAAATGTATAACTAGTTTGGCTATCGGAAGAGTAATCTTGATTTCATACTATGTTAGGTTCAATTTTTGCTTCCAACATCTTTAAATTATGGCATGAGTTTATTCTGATATCATATTTGGTAAACAGTTTTAAAATAATTTATTAAATAAATTTTCATCAGTAAGAAATATTTTAGGTCATTGTGGTTACCCTTATTCAGTTATAACTCCAAGGCCAGGTATAGGGGGTTACATTTAGTGGTATCAGAGTACAAGTTTAAATTTTCGAATTGTTTAGCCTGCTACAATTCTGAAACTAAGTTTAAAATAAATTTGCAAAAGGATTTTCATGAAAATTATATTTAAAAAAAAATCACGCCACAATATTTTTAAGTATTTTATGAAATTATCGAGACTTCGATGCCTTTCTAGATAGTTACTATTTTTTTTTGTAATCATTGTTCAACACCTAATACATACCTATAAGAATAATAGGGGTATCTGATATTGTTTAGAAACTTTAACTGATTACTTCAGTTGTAAGATCTAAACTCTAACGACTAATTATTAGTTGATTAGTGAACACAAATAAGTGTTATGAAATTTTTCTGAAGTATATTTCAGTGCAATGAAACAATAATTAGTTCAATTCTGAATGATCTGGTCTGATATAAAGATAAATTGGGTCAATTATTTTACTTAGGAAATACTTTATTGTTTTTAAAGAAAATTTGTTCAGGTCTAGTTTTCAGTATTATATTCAGTTTTACCCTAAAAACATTTTGACTGAATCTTTGGACCTCTTATGAAATCTTTCCTAAAAAATAACTTGTAGGGATCATATATGCCCTATAGTTAAAAGTTCTTCTATAGTTGTGAGTATTGATAAACTTTTAAATTTTGAACGATAATCTAAGTATATAAATGAACTCCTGTAATAGCATTAGGTTTAAATTTGTTTGAATTCCCACTCAAACACATCGTGATTCAATTTGAAAAAACGATTATTAGCAACATTATCTCTATAATCCCATGATAACTAAAAACTAAAGTAATATTTTACATTATAGAGTGAAATATTATTTTGATATGAGTTATTTGATTTCCTTCAAATTATTTGTAAATCAATTCTAATATTTTCTAATAGCTTTCTCATTCGCGTTAATAATATAATATTTTTACCATTTTAATTCAGTTTTTCTTAAGGAAAATGTCTCAACACTATCATACCCCTTCATTTGGAATTATTAACCCTGTATTTGATGTTCATTATTCTAAAAATAAGTTTTGAAGTATTTTGAATGAGGTTGTATATAAGAATTTTCTGTGTATTGAATGTATTCTAAAAACTGAAAGGATATAACATTTGTATCAATATGATTCAGACTATCTTAAAGAAAAAGAGTCAATTTTGAGTATTGTTCTATAAACTATGCAGATTTGAAAGTGGGAATAAAAGTGAGTAACTATAGACTTTTTAGTGGATTGCCTTGGACTCTGTCCAAGTAGAATTCAATATGTGTTTAATTGATTATCTTGACTAGTTAGTTGACTTTATTCTAGCTCAAACTAGTTATATTCCTGATAACTAAACTGATGGTATACTTTTGAGATTGTTCATTTTTGTGAGATTCCGAGTATGACGCTATGTGATTTTCTTCACGATTCTAAAAGACTTTTTTGAGTTTTTCTGTACGTGATTAAAACTTCAGTATAACTTATTATCTTTAGTATGATGGTCTATTTGAGCAAGTTTTTCATATTCTGAAATATACGTTAAAAGGTTGCGCTATAAGGTTTTGAAATAATTGGGTGGATTGTTTATTATTGAATGAGTTTTTCTGTAATAATAGCTACCAGACTAGCATTTAGATGACATTGTATGAGGCCTTGTAGGACCACAGTTGTCGTATCCTGTTATTTTAGCTTAGTTATATGAGAGGAGGATTGTGAGGTCCATCCTTATACATGTTTTGTTTAACAAAGATCTTTTATCGATCAAAAGAAAAATGGTATTGAGTTCTGTGCGGGTGATCAATTTGTCAGAGGATAATTCCTTTAAAAAGTGTACTTAGATTTGGCTATAAGGCTAGTTGAGCTGAGGTATTTTTGGATCATATCAGATTCTACGTTTATTAGGACCATCTGCATATTGACTTGATTTAATTGAGTTACTGTCATAACCTTAGTGTATATATGATGTCTTGCATGTCTTTATGTTAAGGCGTTATCGTTCTGATCTGTCGCATATTATTTCTGTTGAGGATGTTGTTCCCTCATATTATCCAATTAGGAAAAATTTCAAGGCCAAAATTTTCTTAAGTGAGGGAGAGTTATCATATTCCAAATTTTAAGGGACTAAATTGGCATGTTTTACAAATTTAGAACCATTTTGGAAAATTTTAAAAGTTGAAGGTCTTATAATGTAATTTATCCAAAAAGTTAGGCTATGAAACCTCTCCCTCCCATTTTTAGTTTTCAGCTTTGGGCATTTGAAAACATTTATTCCATTCATTCTATCTCTCTTTATTTTCTTTGATTCGTTGCCAATCGTGCGGTGGTGTGTAATAGCTCAGGCACCATTTTGTTCTTCTGCTCAACCCTGTTCATATGGTGTTCTTTGATTTCCATTCATCGTTGTTGTTTGCAACCGGTGAAAGTTTGAATAGTCAAGTTTCATAAAAACCAGAGAAGGCCTCACGTGCCGTATGCGTCGTCGTGCGTGAGTGGGCTTCGTTCTGCAAATCTGGCCCCTAAACTAGTCTGACTGAACTAGTCCAACCCTGAACCAGTCCTAAACTAGTCTAACTAAATCACTGACTGACCGTTGACTGTGTAACACCCATAACCCATATAATTATACCTATACAGATTAAAGATGTCACCTGAATTTCTAAAACCATTTTTGTATTCAAACGTGATATAAAATTTATTCTCTTAAAATAGTAATTGATATTATAAAAATATCATATCATATAAATTATGTTTCGTTATAATAAATTTAATTCAAAAGATTTTTTTATGAATAGTACCTTGAACAGTGAACAGTAGGGGTATCGGTACCCATATAGCAGGGAATCGGTTCCCTCAAAGCATTATGGAAACTTTTGTTAAACATATTTACTATTCATTACTATTCACTACTATAGTAACTTCTTAAAATTTCATATAAAACTCATAAAAATTAACCTTTCATCACTATCAATTTACAAATTTGTTTCTAAATTAATTCAACAAAACAAATTAAACATTATCAAATTACATGCCACTATCTAAGTCAAATTCCATCATAGGATGTCTTACTGATATTGAAATATACTCCTCGATGCTTGATGTCACGTTGAACTCTCTATTCCACTATTGACTTTTTACCTACGTGTGAAAATCATCACACTAAGTATATACTTAGTGAGGCAATTAAAACTATAGACAGTGCAACACAATTCATGCATGAATTTCCATGTCAAAATCAAAACAACATAATATAATAAAATCATTTTTATCCACCAATATTTCCCACAATTCTCAATCTACGAGGAACCCGGTATAGGAGTCAAATATTGCACAAAAGTGTTGAGGTTTAGCATTGCTCACCTAATAATGCACCGTAGTGTTGAGGACGGTATTTACCCACCTGACTTGTACTATGTATCTTATTTGACACTATAATACAACTTAATTCTGCAGTTGCTAGACTCTATGGCATGTCATTAATACCACTGAACCTCAATAACATATTTGGACATATAGTCATCGATTTAAATCATCCATGGAAACCTATAACCATGTATAAACATTAGGGCAATTCATACCCAAAATCACATCCATGTCAAATCTCATGATGATAAAATAAGGTCGACTTATCGCAAGTCTTCCAGATGATGTATAAAACAT